TGGGGGCCCTGGCTGGTGTGGCTCAGTGGGTAGAGCGTCGGCCTGCGGACCGAAGGGTCCCGGGTTCGATTCCCGGCCAAGGACACATGTCCGGGTTGCAGGCTCGATCCCCAGTAGGGGGCGTGCAGGAGGCAGCCGGTCCAAGATTCTCTCTCATCATGGATGTTTCTCTCTCTCTCTCCCTCTCACTTCCTCTCTGAAATCAATAAAAGTATATTTAAAAGAAAAAAGAAAAAGAATATTCCATGGGGGAGAGAGGGGTCCATACGTCATACGTTCAACAATAAAGATGTAATGAAAATGATAAAGAATAGCCCTGACCGGTGTGGCTCAGTGGATAGAGCACCGACCTGCAGACCGAAGGGTCCCGGGTTCGATTCCTGCTCTAGGGCATGTACCTTGGTTGCAGGCACATCCCCAGTAGGGGGTGTGCAGGAGGCAGCTGATCGATGTTTCTCTCTCATCGATGTTTCTATCTTTCTATTCCTCTCTCTTCCTCTCGGTAAAAAATCAATAAAATGTATATTTTTAAAAATGATGAAGAATAACATGGAAATCAATACGTATCTATCAACAATGGCGTCTACCCAGCCGATGTGGCTGAGATGTTGAGCATCGACCTAGGAACCAGGAGGTCAGGGTTCGATTCCCGGTCAAGGGCACATGCCCGGGTTGCGGGCTCCGTCCCCAGCAGGGGGCGCACAGGAGGCAGCCGATCCATGACTCTCTCTCATCGTGGATGTTTCTCTCTTTCCCTCTCCCTTCCTGTCTAAAATATATAAAAATCATACTTATGCCCTAACCGGTTTGGCTCAGTGGATAGAGCATCGGCCTGCAGACCCAAGGGTCCCGGGTTCGGGTCCCAGGTTCGATTCCGGTCAAGGGCATGGACCTTGGTTGCAGGCACATCCCCAGTGGGGGGCGTGAGGGAGGCAGCCGATCAATGCTTCTCTCTCATCGATGTTTTTAACTCTCTATCCCTCTCCCTTCCTCTCGGTAAAAAGATCAATAAAATATATTTTAAAAAAGAAAGAATAAAGAGTAACAATGGTTAACAGAAACTCTTCAAAAAAAATCATACTTAAAAAAATAAAAAAGAAAAGATAAATAAATAAGTAAATAAATAAATAAATACATATTCACTCCTGCCCGGCCAGTGTGGCTCAGTGGTTGAGCGTCGACCTACGAACCAGGAGGTCCCGGGTTCGATTCCCACACGCACGGGTTGCGGGCTCGATCCCCAGTAGGGGGCGTGCAGGGGGCGGCCGATCCATGATTCTCTCTCATCGTTGATGTTTCTCTCTCTCTCTCCCTCTCCCTTCTTCTTTGCAATCAATAAAAAATATATATATAAATTCTTCCCCCACTGACTCCTCTCAGAGAGATATTGGGGGGAGTGGGGGTGGGACCCAGCCAAACCCCCATGAAGACTGAGCTACAAGAACAGGGAGTCCAGCCCGTCTGACCCCGTCTGTGCGTCCGTAGCTCCCCGGTGCGCACCTATGAGTCCCGTGCGGTAGCCGCGATCCTGCAGCAACTTGGCGAAGGTCGTCTCGTTGGTGGGGAGACCGCCGGAGCCCCCCAGCCAGACGAGGCCGCGGTGCATGTTGAAGGCCGACGCCATCCCTTGCAGGCACAGAAGCAAAGAACAGCTGCTTACGATGGACATTGTTATTAATCACCTGGTTATGGCTTAACTAGAGGCCCCGATGCACGAATTTGTGCACCAGTCGGGAGTCCCTCGGCCTGGCCTGCGGGATCGGGCCGGAACCGGCTCTCTGACATCCCCCAAGGGGTCTCGGATGGCGAGAGGGCGCAGGCCAGACTGAGGGACCCCACTGGTGCACGAATCCGTGCACCAGGCCTGTAGTATGCATATAAAATCTTTGGTAATCTCTTCCCGCCTTCCCCCGTTGCCCCCTTCCTCTGAGATTCATCAGTCTGTTCCATGTTTCCATGCCTGTGGTTTCTGCTCCTGCATTGAGCATCTAACCCAGCAGTTCTCAACCTGTGGGTCGTGACCCCTTTGGGGGTCGAATGACCCTTTTACAGGGGTCACCTAAATACATCCTGCATATCAGATATTTACATTACGATTCATAACTCTGCCCCCTGGTGGTCAGTGCACGTCATAGCGACTGGTCGACCAGTTGACTGTCTGCCCCCTGGTGGTCAGTGCACTTCATAGCGAGCAGCTGAGCGGTCTTAGCATATCATTATCATATTACGCTTTGATTGGTTGAATGGCCGACCGGATGACTGGCCACTTAGCATATTAGGCTTTTATTATATAGGAGGTCCCGGGTTCGATTCCCGGTCAAGGGCACATGCCCGGTTTGCGGGCTCCATCCCCAGTAGGGGGCGTGCAGGAGGCAGCCGATCCGTGATTCTCTCTCATCACTGATGTTTCTCTCTCTCCCCCTCCCTTCCTTTCTGACATCCTTAAAAATACATTAAAAACAATAATAAATAAACAAACAAAAATAGGGGTGCAACGGGCATCGACGGAGGGGTGCGGAATTCCAGACCTTCCTCTCTGACTTCAACAGAAACATATTAAATTTATTCTTTTTAATCCTCACCCAAGAATATTTTCCCATTGATTTTTAGAGAGAGCGGAAGAGAGAGGGAGAGACAGACAGACACACTGATGGGTGGCCTCTTGCACGCGACCCGACCAGGGCCCGGGCCGGGGAGGAGCCTGCCACCGAGGTCCGTGCCCGTGACCGGATTCGAACCCGGGACCCTTTGGTCTGCAGGCTGAGGCTCTATCCACTGAGCCACACCGGCCAGGGCTATTAAATTAAAGGAGAAAGACATAAAGAGAGAAATAAAGAAAGAAAAAAGAAAGAAAGAAGACAGAGAGAAGGAAAGAAAAGGAAGGGAGAGAGAGAAAGAGAGAGAGAGAGAGAGAGAGAGAGAGAGAGAAGGCTCCGAATTGAGACTGAATTACCCAGACTCACCTGATCGAATGGGGTATCGGCCGGTCAGGAAGGCGGCCCGACTTGGGGTGCACATGGAGGCGGCTGCCAGGTGCTGGGTGAGCATCACTCCCTCCCTGGCCAGGCGGTCGATATTGGGGGTGCTGCGGGCGGACGCAAATCAAAAAATATATAAATATTTAAAAAAAAAACAAAAAACAGCCCTAGCCGGTGTGGCTCAGTGGATGGAGCGTCGGCCTGCGGACTGAAGGGTCCCGGGTTCGATTCCCGTCAAGGGCATGTACCTGGGTTGTGGGCACGTCCCCAGTGGGGGGTGTGCAGGAGGCAGCTGATCGATGTTTCTCTCTCATCGATGTTTCTAACTCTCTATCCCTCTCCCTTCCTCTCTGTAAGAAATCAATGAAATGTATTTACAATATATATATATATATCTTATCAACAACAAAAATAAAACTTTTAAAAAATGATTGCACACGAATATGCTAATCTGAGTTGCTGTGCATTTCAATGCAAAAGGCCGGTCCAATGGATATTCTCATATTTCGTTTTTTTAAAAATATATTTTATTGATTTTTTACAGAGAGGAAGGGAGAGGGATAGAAGTTAGAAACATCGATGAGAGAGAAACATCGACCAGCTGCCTCCTGCACACCTCCTACTGGGGATGTGCCTGCAACCAAGGTAGATGCCCTTGACCGGAATTGAACCTGGGACCTTTCAGTCCACAGGCCGACCACTGAGCCACACTGGCCAGGGTGAATCTTATCATATTTCTAAAGTTCATGGGTAACTTATGGTTCATAAAACATTAACGTACTTCTTGTAGGGAAATTTAGCTTTTTTTGTGGTTGTTGTTAATCCTCACCTGAGGATATTTGTCCATTTATTTTTTTAAAAAAGGAGAATGAAAGGGGAAGAGAGAGAGAGAGAGAGAGAAGTGTTAGAGTGACTAGGGTTGGGGATTGAACCTGCAACTCTATACGTGACCTTGACCGGGAATCGAACCCGTGACCCTTGGGTGGGGGAGGTGAATGACTAGGGAATAAGCCTTTGGGAAAAATATATTTTTATTAATTTCAGAGAAGGAGGGAGAGGGAGAGAGAGAGATGGAAACATCGATGATGAAAGAAAAAAAACATTGGTCGCCTGCCTCCTGCACGCCCCCTACTGGGGATCGAACCGGCAACCCGGGCATGTGCTCTTGACCGGGAATCGAACCAGGGACCCTTCAGTCCACAGCCCGACGCTCTACCCACTGAGCCACACCGCCCAGGGCCGGAATGAGCCTTAATAAATACTTTTTTTGGGGGGGCTTCTGGGGGACGATGGAAAACCCCAGAACCAGACAGACCTAAGGGCCTGAAACCCTGTGGGTGGACCAAACGCTTCCGAAATGCCAGCTTTCAACGGGTTAAAAAAAAGGTGACGTTTGTGTTCTATGCTGGTTTTTATCTATTTTTTGCACAACAATAAAATAAAAATCCAGCCCTGGGCGGTGTGGCTCAGTGGATAGAGCGTCGGCCTGCGGACTGAAGGGTCCCGGGTTCGATTCCCGGTCAAGGGCATGTACCTGGGATGTAGGGGGCGTGCAGGAGGCAGCTGATCGACGTTTCTCTCTCATCATCGATGTTTCTAACTCTCTATCCCTCTCCCTTCCTGTCTGTAAAAAAATCAATAAAATATATTTTTTTTAAATAAAAATTTTTTTTAAAAAAAAGCGCAGGCTGCATAGAAATGCAAAATGCTGTCCTCGCGCGCCCTCTGCTGGTCGCGTGGAGAAATTGCAGGGAGCTGGCGGGCGGCCCCACAGACACCACGCCCCCAGGTTGGGACCCAACCTTTACCTGACTGTGTTGTTGCCATAGCAACATAGATCTCCAATCCCCAGGTCATCCGCCATCAACAGGACAATATTGGGCCTCGAATTCCTGGTCACCAACGTCCCCCGGAGGCTCCCAAAGAGGCCACACAGCGACACCCACAGCCGGAGGTTCCTGAAAAGTAATTTTTTTTGGGGAAAAAAAACAACAACACAGAAATAATCAAAACAACCAAAAAAAAAAAACCCAAAAAAACCCCATATCCATTCATGTTTGCATTTGAAGCAACTTAAGAAAAGGAAGCCGAAAGCCAGGGTGGCTCAGTTGGTTGGGCGACTTTTCTGAGCACCCAGAGGTCCCGGGTTCGAGTCCCGGTCAAGGGCACACGCCCGGGTTGTGGGCTCCATCGCCAGTAGGGGGCGTGCAGGAGGCAGCCGATCCGTGATTCTCTCTCATCATGGATGTTTCTATCTCTCTCTCTCTCTCTCTCTCTCCATTCCTCTCTCTAAAAAATCAATAAACATACAAAGGGTGTCCCAAAATTCACGCAAGATTTGAATTTTGCGTGAGCATTAACAACAAAATAAAAATAAAAGCCTAATTTTTCTTGGCTTATTGAATCAGATTCTAATATCTGTTGCCCTTGGATATCAATCCCTTCAATTTGATCAGCATCACCAAGTACCAATGACGGCCCAGGAGCAGGGACAAGGAAGACCAATGAAGACCGCGGCTTTGCGTCTGTGCCAGCAAAGCCGGGGAGGCCACTGACCCAATGTGCTGTTCCATACATAACCCTAGACTGTGTCCTTTATGAATCAATAAAAAAGTTACAATTTTTCCTTATAAATCTGTGTTTTCTATCAAAATTACTTCTTGCGTGAATTTTGGGACAACCTTCATATATAGCCCTGGCCAGTTTAGCTCAGTGGTTAGAGCGTCGGCCCAGAGACCAAAGGTTTGGGGGTTCGATTCCCGGTCAAGGGCACGTACCTGGGTTGCAGGCTTGACCCCCGGCACTGGTCAGAGTGCACTCAGGAGGCAACGAATCCATGGTCCTTCTCCCATCAATGTTTCTCTCTCTCTCTCTCTCTCTCTCTCTCTC